GGAGTTAATTTTTTCATGAATTGGGGTAAGGGTAAAGGTTCTCCTTGTCTTTTAGTCCAGTCGTGTCCGACTCTAGGGCATGGTGCTCATCCCCATTTCCAAGCTATAGAGCCAGCGTTTCTCCATAGACAGTTTCCGTGGTCACGTAGTAAGCGTGACTAGACACAGAACACCATTACCTTCCCACCATGGTGGTACCTATTTATCTACTTGCATTTGCATGGTTTCAAACTGCTCCGTTAGCAGGAGTTGGGACAAGCGACGGGAGCTCCCTCCATTACGTGGATTCGATTTTACGACGGCTGGTCTTCTGACCTAGCGGTTTAACCCATAGCGCCACCATCACTTATGCGGTTTAACCCATAGCGCCACCATCGCCCATGAATTGAGATGAAATAAAGGTGAATAGTCGAAACTCATCTATGACTTCACCAACAACTGCATTAATTCTCCTATGTAGGTTTCCCTTGTCTACACTCTGATGAAAATTGAAACTCAAACATTTACCACATCCCTGGGATTTGTTTGGTTTCTTTCTTCTGTGGATTCTCTCATTCCTCATGATATACAACTCAGAAAAAGTTTTAAAGAATCCCTGCCTTCCATTTATTCAACTTATTTCTTTTGTCCCAGAAGGTGTAAATTCTGAGCAAAATGTTTCCTGTACTCCTGGAATTTATATGATTTCTCACCAATGTGGACTCGCTGGTGCCTGAGAAGGTGTGAACTCCGAGTAAAACATTTCCCACATTCCTGACACTTGTATGGCTTCTCTCCACTGTGGAGTTTCTGGTGAGTCAGAAGGTTTGCAATGACAGCAAAACATTTTCCACACTCATGGCATTTGTATGGTTTCTCTCCACTGTGGACTCTTTGGTGTGCGAGAAGGTGTGAACTCTCGGCAAAGCATTTCCCACATTCTTTGCACTTGTACGGTTTCTCTCCTGTGTGGACTCTCTGGTGTGTCAGGAGGTTTGAATTTTCAGCAAAGCATTTCCCACATTCTGTGCATTTGTATGGTGTCTCTCCAGTGTGGACTCTCTGGTGTCTCAGAAGGTGTGAATTGCGATTAAAAGATTTCCCACACTTCTGGCATTTGTATGGTTTCTCTCCAGTGTGGACTCTCTGGTGTGTCAGGAGGTTTGAATTTTCAGCAAAGCATTTCCCACATTCTGTGCATTTGTATGGTGTCTCTCCAGTGTGGACTCTCTGGTGTCTCAGAAGGTCTGAGTTTTGGGCAAAACATTTCCTACACTTCTGGCATTTGTATGGTTTGCCTCCTGTATGGACTCTCCAGTGTCTCAGGAGGTTAGAATTGCAAATAAAAGATTTCCCACACTTCAGGCATTTGTATGGTTTCTCTCCAGTGTGGACTCTCTGGTGT